TACTTGTTATACCAATTTATCGAATTTTACTATATGGTCTAAATTTTAAACTCATATCTATATTCGTAAAGGATTCATGAAATCATCAAATTATTGATCAAGTAATTTAATGCATTTACTTCATAGTAAAATCAACACATGAAACTGTAAAAATCAAGAAGTTTAATAAGAAAATGTAAAGGATACCAATTGGGTACATTATTCGTCCTAAAAATGAATTTATCTATTCATAATGAAGGAAGAAAAATAATTGATGAGTGATTTACACTCATTATATTATGCCATTAATTTCATGATTTTGCTATCTTGGAGAGTATTTTAGAAGTGCTAACAGGTGATTTTGGTGTTGTTTTGTAGATTGATGGAAATGGAGAAAACTAGAGCTAAAAGAGGTCAAATGAAGGAAATAGGCAAGAGCTGGCGAAATTGGATGAAATGACCAAAATGTAAGAGATCCAAAGTTCGAGGATTAAAATGCAATTAATCAAAAGTCGTGTCGAAACTTGAAATGAAGATCCGAGAGTTCTAGAAGCAAAATGGACAAAGGAAGGTGTCAAAGGGATCAAATTTAGTCAAGATATGATCATAAATCATCTTCCAACCAAAAAGTTTTGCGCCGGAGTTTTCATCTCACATTTAGACTCATTTTTGACATAGAAAACAATCGAATTGGAGAATTATTCCTGAAGCAAAATTGTAGTCCTTTGAATTAGCTTTCCAATGCATCTTGAATCACTTCAATTGGATATCGAACGAAAAAGTTATGATAAAAATACTGAAAGCTGTCCAGTGCAACCGAAGTAGTCCTCAGCGCCCAGGCGCTATTCCTCAGCGCCTAGGCTCCATGATGCTGAAATTTTGACAGAAATCGCAGCGCCTAGGCACCGCCGTGCGAGAGTAATTTTTTTAGATTTTTACCATTCTTTTTCGGCCCAACTCATCTCCAAATCTTTCCCTAAACTCCAAGACAATATAAACACAGGATTGAAGACCTAAACGAGGGGGGAGCCGCACACTAAAAATCTATGGGATCAAGTCACGCGTTCTTGACATATTGGAGAGAAAAACAACAAGAAGGGAGATTCAAGGGAGAAATTTAAGAAGATTAACACTAAGAATTGAAGATTGGAAGCACTCATTGGAAGAGGAAGGAGATCTTGGTGCAAGAATTCCACTTTTTCTTCCATATCTTTATTTCAAACTCGGTGATGTATTCTAAGACAATCTCCTATTTTTCTTCCATTATTATGAGTAGTTAAATTTCATGTTAGAGCGAACAATGTAATCTTTTGGAACCCTTTATTTCATGCAATTGAGATTCTAGTACTTTTTTATTTCATGTGTTGATTTTAATATTGTTCTTAATACATTTAATTACTTGATCACTAATTAGATGATTTGTGAATAATGATTGCGTAGAGATGCGGATTATTTGTTTAGACCACATGTTAAAATCCGGTAAATTGATATAATGTGTAGAGATACCTATATTGATTGTTGCGGTCGTGTGTGAATTCTTAGAACCAATGTTTCGTTTAATTAAATTTAATTTACATAGAGATATGAAATTAAACTAATTAAGTAGGCTCAATGAGAACTCGAGAGGGGTAAGTTGAATACAATAGAAGAATTCGACCGAACACTACCTTAGGTTTTATGAATCTTGATTTATGAAGTAAAGGTGACAAATAGGTGAAATTGTTCCGCCCTAACGTCCATTTATTGTTTGAATTCTCAATAACTTTTCATTAAATCCAATCACATTTTTAAGTCTTTAGAATAAAAATCATATTTAATCATTGTTTTTTATTTACATTCGTCAAATAGTAGTTAAAGAAAGATTAAATTAAGTGCTACAAAATAGTCCTCGTGGGATCGATAACCGGACTCTTAGGTCCACTATTACTTGTTACGGATCGTACACTTGCGAAACAAAATTGTACAACAAGTTAACAATGATTAAATGTGATTTTTATTCTAAAGACTTAAAAATGTGATTGGATTCAATGAAAAGTGATTGAGAATTCAAACAATAAATGGACGTTAGGGCGGAACAATTTCACCTATTTGTCACCTTTACTTCATAAATCAAGATTCATAAAACTTAAGGTAGTGTTCGATCGAATTCTTCTATTGTATTCAACTTACCCCTCTTGAGTTCTCATTGAGCCTACTTAATTAGTTTAATTTCATATCTCTATGTAAATTAAATTTAATTAAACGAAACATTGGTTCTAAGAATTCACACACGACCGCAGCAATCAATATAGGTATCTCTACACATTATATCAATTTACCGGATTTTAACATGTGGTCTAAACAAATAATCCGCATGTCTACGCAATCATTGTTCACAAATCATCTAATTAATAATCAATTGTCTTAAAATATACCACCAAATTTGTAGTAAAAATGTAGAAGAAAAAGTAGAATTCTTGCACCAATATCTCTTGCATCTTCCAATCAATGTGTTAAACCTTCAATTACTTGATGTTTTCTTCATTTGAATTCTTCTTTTGATTCTCCAATTATGTTATCTTGCCTCTCAATGTGTGAATCCCCTTCAAAAGTGTGAGAAATCTGTATTTAGAGGTGCCCCTCTGTTTGTATAGAAAGTAGGATTTTTATGGAAATGGGCCAAAAATGCGCCCTAGACAACCCCAGTGCAGCGCCTAAGTGCCGCGAACAAATCTAGGTAGCGCCTAAGCGCCGTTGGAAACGTCTGGGCGCTATGGTTGCAATGCCTAGACGTTGTACGTTCCCTCTCGAGTTAGATTCTTCGTTTTTTTTATGTCTCGTAGCTTTTAGGCGCTTCGAACGCAGCGCCTAAGCACTGCCTTTCTGCTCCACTTTTTTATTTTTGGCCTCTTCGTTCAATTTAGTACCTTTTTTTGCATCGTCTTTTCCAATCTTCAAAACAACACTAACAAACACATCAAAAACGTTCTATACTCACAAGATTTAGCAAATAATCAAGCTAAAATTGTGCAAAATTCATGAGTGAAACAAACTCATAAGTTTTCCTTACATATTTATAATAATAATAATAATAATGTGAATATACTTATTTAACGAGTAATCTATACCATAATCCTTTTTTTTAAAATAAGTAAAGAATACATTGGGCCCCAATTATAGATGTTTAATTTTACCCGTGTGCACAGGTTGAGAATAACAATATATGAGCTCATTAATCAAGTACATCAATTTGGTGTATAATCAAGAATATCAAGCATTGTCCAATGTAATGCCAATAACCAATGCTATGTCAATGGGTAGAATCTTAAATCTATAATCAATTTGAAAAGAAATAAGTAATTCAATAAACATAATTGTAATAAATATATTTGGAATAAAAAATGGACATAGATTACTCACCTTTAAGTTTCATGACAATAAAAGTGCTTTCTTTGTGAAGTTACTTGTCTTTGATTTTCAAATTATTGCGTGTTTTCCTTCTCTCTCATTCTCCCCTATTTATAATAGTAATTGAGAACTGAATTAATAATTAATTTATTTTTTCCTAATTATTATTTTGCCATCTTTTATCCTATTATGTCATTTGTCATTTTAGTATTTAGAGTGATAAGATAATGTGTAGCGTAGCCGCCTTATTCCCCTTAATTTTGCCACAAGACTTTTAATTTAAATCTTAATTCAATTCTTTTCATAAGGTTATAATATTATCAATATAACTTTTTACTATGTTATATGAAATGTACATCACAATAGAAAGTATGAATATGTACGATAAATTTGCTAAAGCTTATGATTTTGGAAGATGGGCAGTACTACATGTATGTCAAAGAAGTTCACACATGGATGATGTATCTAGAATTTTCGGACTTCCACCACTCTGTGGGATCCCACTACTATATTGACAACCTCGATGCTACTACTATGATGTATGTATTTTTAGATAATTTTCTTGGAAAATAAATATGTTCGCATGGCCTTTGATATGTAGTATAAATAATAGTACAAATAGGTCGGTTATGATTGTAAGGTATAGTACATAGTGCAACTTTTGTGTAATACAACTTTTATATAGCTATTAGTCTCTAATATTTTTTTTGCAACGTAACAAAGTTTATTAAAAAAATAAAAAATTCAACTATCTTATAGTTGGTGTTATTTGCCTATTTCATACTCTTCAATGACCGTGGTTGAAAAAGAACAAAATGTGTCAAACTTGTAATCTTAATGGTCGACCCATACAAATTGCTAAAAATTTTCTCTCTTCACAAAGTATTCAAAAATTTGAAATTTCTATAAATTAAATGACAAGATTGGGAGCTGACAGAAAGTGTACGTACGACACCATTTACATTTTTTTCTTTTTTACCATTACCAAACCTAATTGGCTTGGATTATATGCATATAAAAATCTTGGGAAGATACTATGTATGGTTATTATCTAAATAATGTTACTTAGACTGATAATGCTCACCATGAATATTGTTACTCCTCTTAGAATATTTTCAAGAGATTTTCGATTTTTAAAGAGTATATTTTATTATTTGAAGAGCATTTATAAATTTAGAGAATTAAATTTTTGAAGTATTCTAACAAACTCTTTGTATTTAATATTTAATTTTATTAATCCCAAAAAAATTTATTATTTTCCTCTATCTTTTATTTTAACTAACTTTTTTATAGATTATTTTATTATTTTCTTACATTGAAAATTGAAACACTTTGAATGTATTTAATTATAAAGAATGAGTTTGTCCTTCCAAATTATCTAAATTAAAATATTAATTTAAAAAGCCTCTTGAGATATAATTTTAAAAACTGACTCTTTAAAATAGAACGCATCTCATATTTAAAAGGTCTATTAGATATGCTGTCACCAACTAATTAAAAACAAATGACATTAAAATTAAACAGAAAATTGCAAAACAAATTTCCAATTTAATAATAATACAAAAACAAATAGATAAATGAAGCAATGAACTTCCTTGTGAGCGTAAACTCCCCAATAATTACCAATATATCCCATTGCACACATTCTCGGTTCTCACAAGTCACATCACATTGTCTAAACTACTTCAACCCCACCACAGTCCACCCAACCTCAAGCTCCTAATGGCGAATTCTCCGAAGAAAGTTCAAAATCCGAAACCCTCATCAGTGTTAATCGATCCCGTGTATTCTTCAATGATCACACTATTGATATTAGTGATGGCCTGCATCGAAATTTGCGACGCCGTAACGGTGGTCGATGTGTACCGGCTTGTGCAATACGATATTGGTGGCGTGCCGTTCGGATCTCGACTCGCTTCACTCAACCATCACGCCGGTTCTTCGTTTTTTTCTTCATCGTCTGGGGCTGCCGCGGATCTCTCCCGCACTGTCCTCATCCTTCCCGTCCGCGAATTGAATCTTACCTTCATTAAAGGTTCATTCTTTGCTTCTCTTAATCAATTATGAATTCTGGTTTTACTAGTTTATGTTCAACTTGAAGAAAATTTAAAGATGTTAAGTATTATTTAACTTTTTTTTTTAATTAAAAAAATATAGCTGTTCTGAGCGGATACTTAGTTGAAATTTAACTTTTATGTTAATTTTTTATGTAAGGAAAGAATGTCTTAAGAGTTTAGAACTATCGATAGTTTGCGGGTTACTATAGAAGGAAACTCAGAAGAGAGTTTTTTTTAGTTGCTTTGCCAATGCTGATGCAAGCTGAATTTTAGTTGAGGATTTTACATTTTTATATCTTTAAATTGTAATGATATTTCATTACATATTTTTTTAGTCAGCAATTAAACTTCCGAACTTCCTATCTATCTGTTGGACATTGAATTTATTAGAAGGCGAGCTTTTGCTTTTCTGTAATCTGCGTGCGTGTTGCATTTGTGAAGCTGAAATGGAGCTTGCTTACTGTACTGAAAAGTGCTGAATAAGGGAAATTTATTGGAAAAATACTTGAAAACTAGAAAATGCATTTTTAACCTATAATACGACCAAAAATTTTGAAAAATACAGTAAAATATGCATTAAAAGTCTATTCCAATTGTTTAATAACTCTGGAGAAAAAGGTAGCGAGATATTGAACTGTAAAATCCACATTATAGAAGTATCATATAGTAAGGTCATGCTTGGTTAGTTCATGCTTCAGTTATTATGTTATATCCGGACCACTGAGTTTCTAATAGTGGAAAGAAAGAGAGACATTAGTTGATGGAGTGAATGGGAAGTTAAACTAACTGGTGGCCTTCTATCTTGTGAAAATTAGACATGACACATGTTAGTTGTCCAAAGTTACCTGATGCTCCACTCCACATGTTATGATATGTTCTTGTACACATTCTTGCTGAATATAGTGTACTGAAATGTTAAGTTTGTTTTCTGTTCACATGGGAATATTGCAAGCCACTTGGTGTAATGGTGATTTTTGTTGCACCTCAACTATGTTTTAAATATCTCATGTAAAAATAAGTGCTCTGTTTTATAATTCAAATGAAAGTAATTAGCTTATAAGCAATGTCCATATAGGTATTCTTGGTTTAATGCTGTGACTAGAAATCCTGTAGATGGGTTGCCTAATTTCATGTTTTTCCTTAATAGCTTAAAGTGATTGTACCCCCCCCGTGTATTCTCTTTTAAGTAATAAAATTATTTGATTACCTATCAAAAAAAAAAAAAACAATGTCCATATAGAGCTTTTTTGGTAGCCTTTTTAATTGCTTATAAGTTGTGGTCCTACTGAATATGTAGATCAGGAGTAATAAGTTGTGGGTCCTACAAAATGTGGATAAAAAAGTATGTGTAACTAAGCTTTGCCAAATATGCTTATAGAATGCCATGTTGGGTACAATTTCTTGGTTTCAAATATTATTCATATAAAGGAGTGGTACATCAAATGGAGATGCCTTTTGCATGTTGATATTGGGCATACTAGATTAGTGTGGCAAAATATATGTTCCAACAACAGATTTAGTGCAATGTCAGCTGGCTGAAAAGCAAAAATAATTACTCTTAAAGAGGTTTTTGTGGAGTTGGACTGCACTTGAAGTAGGTAATCAGAGTTGTACAGGTGTCATCTCAGCTGGTATGTGAAAACTTTTTACATAATGAAATTATTAAACAGAGACGAGTGGAAGCATGATGTTACAGCATCTGCACTGAAGATAAGATTAACTGGAAAAAAAAAAAAAAAAGCACATATGAGAGACAGACTGTCAAAAGCTTTATCTATTTTCAGTCCACATATTGGCACTTTATTGTGAATGACCTCTAGTTTAAATGGTTTTGAATTCAAAATAAGTGAAAAATATATTTCCTCTCATTTTTAAAACCTTCTCAGTATATTTTTCAGTTCACAAAGTTAAAACAACTCTTGCTCAATTGTGTTTCAGTTCTTGCTTTCATTTCATAAAGGCACTACTATCAATAAACAAAAATCTATTCCCTATCTATTTTAAAGCATTTTTGGAAGTGTCTAAAAGAGTTTAAATTATAAATAGATAGAAATGATCGGTGGATAAGTGAGTAGTACTTGTGGGTTCCTGGATAAAAAGTAACTTAATTGTTTATTAACAATTTATAAACATGAATCAAACTTAGGCTTAGTTTCTATGTGTCAACTACCTTACATTCTACTTTATATTCATTTTTATAGCTTCATAATCTTTTTCATCTGAGTTGGAGTTATCTTTTTGTTGACAATCTTATGACAGAATATATTACGCACAGAAAGCCATTAGGTGGTCTATTGCTTCTACTCCCCCCAGCTTTTAGTCTTAACTCTGAAAGTGTGGGTGGAGCTCATCATGATTCTGCAAAAGACCTTATGAAGGAAGTATTGGTTGAACTAGAGCAGTTACTTATACATGCTAACACCCCTGTGAGTGAAACAATTACTTTCTTTGGATTTAATCGGTGATTCTTTTTTCTGTTGGTTGTGGAAACTGTAAAGCATACATATTGGCATTTTCGATGTACTTGTATCTAGAGATAATTTGTACACTGCACAATTAGGATATTGTATTTACTTCCACCTGTTCATTCCAAGAGAACATAAACGGTATGCAATTCTGTTCATGGATTCTGGAATGTATAACTTGGATCACCTGTGAAAACAAGGACTAGCATGCTTGAAGTTATAGTTTTTTAGTAATGTCTGGCTTATTAATATAATATGTGACCCATAAAGTAGTGTGTTATCTTCTTTATTGACTTAAAACACTTCATGCTCTATCTGTCAATCTTATGTTTTTGAATTTTGATTCAACTGTTATCTTATGTGTCAGTATCCAGTGTACTTTGGTTTTGAGGATGATAGTATTAATACTGTGCTAGCTGATGTCAAGAAGAATGATGCTACTGGTCAACTGGCAACTGCTACAACTGGCGGGTTAGTCTTTTGACTTGAAAAGAATGTTTTAAGAAATCATTAGAATCAGAAACACTCCCATTCCTCATATCTAACATATCATATGATGCTGAGAATAAGTACTGGGTTAGTAGAACTGTGTTTCATTTCTGTTTTGTGTGGTCTGCCATCAATTACCGAATTCTTGATCCCTGTCTTGAAAGTGGCACTTAGACCAGTGCATTTTTCAATACAAGCTCAGACTTCATGCTAAAAACTGTATACTCATTTTGTATTCCAGTCCCCTTCTGTCATATTTAGCATAATGACTTTGCCCCCACTCTCCAAAGCCTGTCACCCTTAGCTATAAAAATATTTTAGCAATTTACATCACAAAGAAATATAAATGATTTTAACTGTCTACGCTTGGGGAAAATAGGAAGTCTTATTTGTTTCTAGGTCTGTTCCATATTTATAAGTGTCAAGATAACTCATGTAATTGACTAGCTCCATAATATGTTACGATTCTGAGAGAAATTTTGATGGAATTTAAATGCATTATTTTCTACTTAGGGAAAATGAGAGAATGGAATAACGAGTGTTCTAGGTTCATTTTCTGGTTTGTGCATATTCAATTTTAAGGCACTGAAAGTGAACAGAAAAGGAGGCATGCAAGTGAGCTTGTTAGACTGCCGGTCGGTTCAATAGTAAATGAAGTGAAGTAGACCGCACTATGTCTATATAATTTTTTTCTTCGAGTGTTTCATAATATTGAGAGTTCCAAATTCGTTATTGCTAATTATTTAATTTACTATGTATGTATGTATGTATGATTTAGTTCCGCTAGCTAGTTTTACATGTATATGTTTAGTTCCTTTCTTTTTTCTTTTGATTTGCTGTTTTGTGGGCTATTATGTTCTGTTTCATGACTCTTTGGTGCTTCATAATAGTACCCCTGACTCCTGAACGCCGGTGGCGTCTTATCCACAGATTGCACTTGCATCTGTTTATGTCAGATGTTGAATCAAGAATCAAGTTCTCCATTAACCCTATTATGTATCTTTTGATGGAATATATATGTTTCAGATACAAGCTTGTCGTTGCTGTGCCAGAACCCAAGAAAGTTGCATCTCCAACCATTGCAAATATCCAGGTTCAAGCTTAACCTGTTATTTTTCTGTTGGGATTGACTGGGGCCATTATATAAACCCTGTTTGGTTTATATAAAAATGAAATTTTTAGTAGATTTTGATTAAAGTTGATGAATGTGTGGTTGAAAAGTTGATAAACGTTGTAAATCCCATGAAACAGGTCAGTGGAATCTTTATGCTCAAAACCCCTTTATTTGGGACCTCCCAATGAGCAGGAACTGCCATTCCTAACTCTTCTCAGGGGAAAGTGTGTTTGAAAATGAGTTCGAGGAAAAATGAGTTTTAGAGAATTGGGGCCAAACAGTGCATAATATATAGCTTTTGCAATCTAGAGGTTCAAGTTTCAATTTCAAACATTGCAGCCATATATGAACGGTTGCCTGTGACATTGTTATATTTGATTGAACACATAAACTATCATAGGGGTTATGAATTCTGCCAATCTTACACTACTGTTTATAGACGTATTTTTTCATCATTAATGATTCTCATGCTATGTCAGGGGTGGTTGCCAGGATTGAAAGCTGATGGTGATTCAAATCAACTTCCAACTATTGCCATAGTGGCATCATATGACACGTTTGGAGCTGCACCAGTAAATACTTATTTATTTAGTTTTTCTGTTTGATTGATGGTCCAGGGTTTTATGTTATTTTTAATGTTAACAGGCATTATCAGTGGGAAGTGATAGCAATGGAAGTGGTGTTGTGGCCCTTCTTGAAATAGCGAGATTGTTTTCTATTTTATATTCAAATCCTAAAACTAGAGGAAGGTATAATTTACTTTTTGGGCTTACATCTGGTGGACCTTATAACTATAATGGAACTTACAAGGTGCTTACTCGAAGAACTTTTTTTCTTTTCTTCTATGTGCTTACATATGTTGCCATGTCATTATTATGATCTTATGTTTTACCTTGTGTAGTGGCTTAGGAGTTTGGATCAGCGTCAACGCGAGACTATTGATTATGCTATTTGCTTGAATAGCGTTGGCTCATTTAACAATGATTTATGGATTCATGTTTCCAAGCCTCCAGAAAATGCTTACATCAAGCAAATTTTTGAGGTTAGCAAAGTAACTTTTTAGCAATAAAGATGTGGGTTTATTTTTCAAACACAGTCATCTGCCGTGCCAATTTCTGGCTTATTGAGTGGAATTTGCAGGGTTTATCTAATGTCGCAGAAGAATTGGGGCTCAAAGTTGGTCTGAAACACAAAAAGATAAACATCTCTAACACTCGAGTAAGTAGATGTGTAGGTGTTTGAATTGCACTTAAAATGCTTTTTATTTGATATTATTTAATCAAAAAACCTATGATAGCTCTAGTGCTTAACATTTGAGATACAGATGAGTTTATTAAGTTCATTTTAAATTGTTTTTGAACATGGCTTAGGGAGACTGAACAGAAATTTAGGATATTGTACAATACAATTTTAGGATAGAATCATACGTGATATTTTCATTCTTATTTTCTGCATGAGGATCAGTGCATAAGTATCACATTATATGAGTTTTACTATCACTAGGAACCTCTAATGCCTTTTTTTGTTGTGGTTATCACAAGTAGCATGTTCTGTGGCTATGGATATGTTTAGGAAGGAACTGAATTATGGTGAGATATTTGTGGATAAAATGTCTTTTAGGTTTATATTTAGCAAGTGGAGAATTCTAGGTAGTTTTGTCATGCGCACTTGTTGCGGATCAGCTTTATGAACAGGTTTTCTTTGAATAAAGTGATAGATTATTGATTATGAAGATTTAATTTCTTCTTGTATGATGACTTGTATAACTGCAATTATGGATTACTTCTCTTACACTTGTCGATTAGAATAACACAACACTGCTCTGCTCTATGCATTTGTTGTGGCTAATCTCTACTTCCTGGCTTATGATGCCTTTAATGTTTTCAAAGAGCTCATACTTTTGACTTATTAATGCAGTCTGTATGAAAATAAAGCTCTCCAACTTATTACTGAAGTTTCTATGCAAACAAAAAATGGCTTTCATGTGGCCTTTTAATTGGGATTGAAACTATAAAGATTGGGTACCCGTAGGCCGTAGTTGATTAACCTTATTGGAAAAAAAAGTGATGACCCTTTGGAGATGCTTAATTCGTCATAGTTACGAGACTCTTGGTAGTGATGACCCTTTGGAGACGCTTAATTCGTCATAGTTACAAGACTCTTGGTAGAACTTTTTGTGTGCTTTCACCAATTTATTTTGCATAAGCAGTTCAGAAATAAACCTGGTTTTATTTTATGTGGTTTCAAAAGATAAGCTACCACCTTCTCTTAGTTCTACGACTTATGTTTACCAATATTTCTATTAAGATGCAGACTGCTTGTAGTAGAAGGAAAATTATCATGAATTTTTTAGTTGATATGATCAACTTGAAGTTGTGGGGGCATTTGTCGTTATTTTGTAATTGACACCTATCTTGTTGTTTTAGTTTCACTGCTAAAGCTTTTGAAGCATTTTAGGTGGCCTGGGAGCATGAGCAATTTTCGAGACTGAGAGTCACAGCTGCAACACTCTCTGAGCTTTCTGTTGCTCCTGAATTGCTGCAAAACACTGGAGGTCTATCAGATAACAGGTTGTAACTGGGAACCAAAAATAGTTTTTTCTTGAACTATTTTTTGCTTGATTTGCCATTTCCTAAATTTCAGATTTTCTGTACAGACATTTTGTTGATGAAGCTTTAATAAGTCGAAGTGTCAAGTTAGTTGCTGAAAGTCTGGCGGTAAGATCTCATAGTTAATGTTCTCTAGGGTAGAATCCTATTGTAGTTTGGGTGTAATGTTCTGTAGAAATTTGCACAATCCTTCACCCCACTCCTCCCTTCCCCTGCAGCCCCGTGCTTGTAAATGAAGATAAATAAATTCTGTAGTTCTTGCACACCTGCAATTTGTGAATGGCTGCACAAATGAAGTTTCATGTCCAAAAAATGCACTTCTTGTCTGTAAATATGATTTAATTCTGTTTTCATCTGGAATATAGTGTTGTGATATATTATGATAGATTTTTTTATTAGAATCGATAGATGGCGGCATGTTCAATTGAAAGGATGTTCGAGATCTTCTTTTACCCTCACTTTCTGTATTTAACTGAACTTCGATTTCATTTTGAATAATCTGAAGGTTAGGTTAATTTGTGTGTTGCATATAGTGAAATGTTAATCTAAACAAAAGGTAACATAATATTCAATTGTGGAATAACTGTAAGGAGCTTATGTATGGATTAGTATTTCGACTTAAATTGAACAGATGCCGCTGCTTTCCTATTGTTTGTCTTGTTGATTTAGGTTAAAGCTACATTATATTGAGGACTTGAGTGGTTGCGGGGGATGAATGTTTATGACATATAATTTGTTGTTTATCTGATCTCATCTGGTTTGCCTAAAGCAGAACTGAATGAATCATGGTTCAAGTAACATCTTAATTAGAGTGCACGTGCTAATCTAAGGTTTTGTACATGTCAATCAGGATTAGCATATATATTTTCCATAATTATTCAATCTATTTATGCCTTGATTGCATATCATATATAAGCAAATTTGTATAGTTAATAGTTTTCCATATTTGATAGGATTGTCATTAGGAAGGTAATTGTCCAAGAGCCTCTATTTAGTCTGAGGATTCTCACATTATTATACACATTGAATCCAAAATTATAAGTCTTAGATGGTATCAGAGTAAGGATTTCTAAATTAGGATTTAATCCCTTGACTATTCCGATAGTCTTTGTGGGCAATGACGATTGTGCAAAAAGTATAACATTTGTGGGCTGCTTGTGTCGTCTCTGGGTGGTCGAAGAACCAGCATAAATATTTGTGGTTCACGATCTTTTGAGCAGCAAACTTCCGATTACCTTCTAGTCGGGACTGTTGGTGTAGTGCCAACACTTGCTTTGGCTGAATCCTGTGGTCGACAGTCAGTTGGTGTCCTCTGTGGTGCTCGAAAATTGGAGTTCGACATTTGGGTGAAGTGGGTTGGTTTGTTGACGGGAAACTCAGATTGCGACTGTGTGGTGGCCGACAACTTGCAGGAGTCAATTTTGGGCTGGAATCAAAATCTTCAGAGTTCATTTTAGGGAGAAATTGAGGTCTATTTGGGCTGGTAATCTCAAATATTGTTTGGGCTGAAGTTTGCTTATTTGACACAACTAATTAGGCTTGAATTTCGGTTTTGAATTTTATTTGAAAGTGGTTTTTTATTTATTTGTCCTATATTTCAATGGCGACTTGGAATTCAGGTCTCTTTGGTTGCTCTTGGCAATAGACAAGAATATGGGGTGGACTATGAAGAGACATTTGCTTTGGTTACCAAAATGACTACGATATGTACTGTTATTTCTATTACGGCATCTCAAGGATGGCCACTTCTTCAAATGGATGTTAAAAATGCATTTCTTTATTGTGATCTTAAGGAGCAAATTTACATGACCCAACCTCTTCTTCTTCAGATGTTTGTAAGTTGAAATGATCTCTATATGGATTGAAGCAGGTTCCACAGGTTTGGTTTGATAAGTTTCAGTCAACCTTGCTTTAATTTTCCTTTAAGCAGAGTCAATATGACTCATCTTTGTTCCTTTGCAAGACCCCGATTGGTATTGTCCTTCTTGTTTATGTTGATAATATTGTCATCACAAGGATGGATTCAGATTTAATCACTCGTCTGCAACAACATCTTCAGGCCTCTTTTCATATGAAAGATTTTGGTCTCCTCACATATTTCTTTGGGTTGGAAGTTCATTCGGATCATTCTGGCATCTTTTTAAGTCAACATAAGTGCACACTAGATTTGATCACTGCAGTCGGCCTTCAGGATTCTCCTTCCGTTGATACTCTACTGGAAGTAAATACGAAATATCACGGTGATGAGGGTGATCTATTGACCAATCCTACTTTGTATCGACATTTGGTGGGTAGTTTGAACTAATTGACAATAACTGATCCTGACATTAAATTCATGCAAGCTTCACGACATCTACATTTAGCTGCTGTTCGTCGTATTATTCGTTATCTTCGCGGATCTTCTAATCGTGGCTTATTCTTCCCAACCGGTACTTCTCTTCGCCTTGTTGCCTACAGTGATGCTGATTGGGCTGGTTATCATGATACTAGACGTTTTGGTACTAGGTGGTGTATATTTCTTGGTGATTCCTTGATATCTTGGAAGAGTAAAAAACAAGATCGAGTTTCTAAATCTTCTACTGAATCTGAATATCCGGCCATGTCTACTGCCCGTTCTGAAATTCTTTGGCTCTGTGGACTGTTAGCTGAACTGGCTTTTCTCAGGATGATTCTACCCCTCTTCATGCTGATAACACTAATGCTATTTAGATTGCTAATAATACTTTTTTCATGAACGTACTAAGTATATTGAGGTGGACTGTCACTCTATTCGGAAGCTCAGGACTCTTGTATTATTTCTCTTCCTCATGTTTCTACTGATCTTCAGATAGTTGACATATTTATAAAGGCTATGACACGGCAGCGTCATCAATTCCTTGTGGGCAATTGATGCTTCTCAATCCTCCAGCATCAATTTGAGGGGGAATGTCAGTCAGGATTAGCTATATATTTTCCATGATTATTCAATCTATTTACGTCTTGATTGCATATCATATATAAGCAAATTTGTATAGTTAATAGTTTTCCATATTTTATAGGATTGTAATTAGGAAGGTAATTGTCCAAGAGCCTCAATTTAAACTGAGGACTGTCACATTATTATACACGTTGAATCCAAAATTATAAGTCTTACAATACATGCATACTACCCATGCACGTATTCAATAAATAGGTAATTGTTCAAGTGTTAGTTGAGATCTTAAATTTCAAATTTATTTTCTGAAGTCCTTGCTTTGTAGTTTTGCAAAATTAAGGTTGTAGAATTTCGCCATACATGTTTGTTACTGCTCATTTTGTTTCTTGCTTGTGCACATATGCATGCATCGGACACTTTTGAAGAAATGAAGAGTGCATGCATATTTATTGACAACTTGGAGCATAAACAGTGAGCTTGTGTAAAATTAGCAGATCATGCTTGTTAATTTCATGGAGAAAGTTTTTACGCAGTAATACCCAAAATCAGCTAATCCCGACCATGCTAGTTTCTGATTAAAAATGTACTGGACTGGTTTATTAAACATCAAATGATTTTGCATATGTATGAATATATAATGCATATTATGTATTAAATGATTTTGCATGGCCTAATGGTTTAATGCGTATATACAGAGACATATTTATGACTTGAAGGGGAAAGACATCAATATATTTGCGGATAATAGTAGTTTAGCTGTCAATCCTTCGTATATACGTTCATGGCTAGACCTTTTGTCAAGAACACCTCGAGTGGCGCCATTTCTTTCAAAAACTGATCCTATCATCATGGCGCTGAAAAAGGTAAATCTTGCTTTACTTGAATTTTTAAGTTCATAGTTTATCCCTTGTGATTCTATATGTTTTCTTTAATAGTGGCATTTTTTTTTTAATTTTTTTTTTCAGTTCTACGTCTTTTGTAGCTTTTGATTATAGTTTCCCTTTTTGGCTAAAGAAATAGTTGCCATTGTAGCTTCGATGTGAATCGAAGATGACTCGGAAATGTAGCATTATGAATTCCTAAACATGCAAAGATGATACAGTGAACTTCCAGGAGAAGGGGAAAATTGAAGTTAGACCTGCAAAGTTATTGTAATCAAGCATGGAATATTGGAGAAGCAAGAAAAATGAAACTGAGAGATGCTATATAATATGAATAATTCTAGGGTTTTGCCTCCTAATAATTTGACTGTATTAAAAATCCTTGGGTAGCAAAATTTTATGGCAACTGATTACACAAGTACAACAGTATATTTAAGAGAATAAAGCTCTTACCACTCCCTAATAATTGAAAAAGAGCAAAGCACACGTTGTGAAATGATAAAAGAGGACTGTAGTGATTTTTTGTCAACTATGTCATCTGCTTGGTGCATCCAGAGCAATGTTTGACTTCCTATTTTATTGCTTGAAGAAAAATGACCTTCTGGATGTGAATTCCACTTTCCCTGTCTACGCTACATAGTTTCCTGATTTGGTGAAAGAGCTCGCCAACTTATGACATGTGCTATACACTAAATAGTTTCTGGATTTGGCTCAGTGGTTGAGAAATGTAGGGTCTAGACCTTTCATCTCTGATATGTTAAGCTAGTCAAGATGATGTTTCTAAGTGGTCAATAAGAAGTTCGTGGTTTTGGATTTTTTATTTTATTTTTATTCTTTTCCTTTTCTGTATGGCGATGGATTTCTTCAATTTGAATTGACGTGATATTATATTCATCATTTACAAATTAATCGGCTGTGTAGAATCAAGTTAAATCCCACGAGCCACTCCCTTTCCTGAATTTTAGTTTTGGATTGTGACTACAATTTTTCTTATTTATTTATATTTATTTTTGTTGATAGGAATTAGCAGATCATACCATCGAGGTGAATGTACAACAGGAAGTTCTTGATGGAATGTTCACTTTTTATGATTCAACAACTGGCAGGTTGCATATATATCAGGTGCTTATTTCACCTTTTTATTTTGTTTGTATCTTGTCGGACATAAATCTCTTTAAGCATTTAATTTCTCAAGAGCACCAGGTTTGAGGGAATGAAGAGATTATGAAGTCACTTCAATTTTGGGAATCTTTGGTTCTAAAATAAAACCCAATGCAATTTATGTATCTAACGAATGGTCTGATATTTTTGATGATATACTGCAGGTTGCCAGTGTAACATTCGACTTACTTTTGCTGCTAGTCCTCGGATCATACTTGATTGTTCTTTTCAGTTTTCTAGTCATCACAACCAGGGTATGATCCTTAATGAAATTTTTTCCCCTCTCCATCCCACTTGTCTGCACATTCTATTCAGAAAATGCAAAAAGTTGCTCTATATATGCCTTATTAATGAGTATGATAACGAGAAAATGACATCTTTGCAAATGCTGATTATGTCTCTACAGGGTCTTGATGATCTGATCAGTCTATTTCGTCGTCCCCCTTCCCGCAAAGTGAAAACGGCTTGATTATGGAGCTGGGTAGTTTACCACCAGGACCCTCCGAGTTTTGGACTTGCAGATTACTTTTTTTGCAGCTTAAATGCGGACATTGAACTTCAGATGAGTTATCTGATGGTCCCTATGTGTGTAGGTTAACTTAATTCTGAGTAAACTAGTTAGAAGTTTTGAGTTGGTCGTTATTTCTTTAACTTTTCCTCGGTGGTTTCCTGAAGGAGATCACTTGGCTGCTATAAACAAATTTTGTTGAGACTACCCTGTAATCCTCCAGCTGGCTCTCCTTACAAAGAGACATAGCTTCTATGTTAGATCCCGATTTTAAGCGAGGTTGTATTTTCGAAAAAACTGATTCATTTATCATCTGATATGGTACTTGAACATATTTGGCTTGAAATCAACTGGCATCTTTTCCATGACATTGAGGCATGAGTGTGCGTGCAGTGTTTTGATTTGATTCAATCTCTTATTTGAAGATGAAATCAGAATAATGATTTGGTAAGTCAAGAAGGATAAATTTTGTGATTTGACTTCACTAAAAGATTTTAGGAATGAAATTGAGAATTATATCTGGCCTGGAGATGAAATCGACCTACCCAAATGTTACTTCCATTGAGATTTTAGGAATGAAATTGCCTGGGGAATGGTTGATGAAAGATTTTTATATACAATGGTTTACACGACACCCATAAACAATATACAACTAGAAGAGAGTTTATGGGCAATCCTAGGTGAGTCTGGAAAGCTTTTAGATAGAAAGCACCAACATGGATACGAAAGTTGCACGACATGATATGGACACTTTGACACAATTTTTTGAAAAAAATACCAATGCAACAAGTTTTCGACGTACTCAAGGAAAATTATTAATTTTAGCATGCCCGCAACGCATTCAATCGTACAAAATAAAAAATAATTTGAACATGCCACCTAGAGTTCTAGACACGTGTATGTGTGACTTTCAACTATACGAAATCAAGAAGTAATTTGAACACACCACTTGATGTTTTTGACATGTCGGTGTCATGTGGCGTTTGACAATAACGTGTCGATAACTTCTTCAAATATACAAAATCAGAAAGTGATTATCAACTAATTTACCTACATGTGCAAGTTCTTCAAAATATGGATAGCTTTCTTTAAAAATGGTTTTTGAGTTGAATTAAATCGATGAAAATTAGAGGCGAAATTGTAATTGTTGTTTCTTTTGATAAATTTCTACATTATAACCTACGGAAATAATTTCTTTTCCAATTTTCGATGGAAATTTCCTATAATATAAAACTGATGCAAAATTTGTAGAATTGTATTCTAGAATTAATTAATTATTCTTGTGAATTAAAATATTAAAAATATAGAAAGGATGACAATAAGGAAGATGCTGGTTCTGAAAAGTAGAAGGGTAATGGTGTAGGTGGTGGCAGCAAGGAAGAGGGATTGTGGTAATACAAGGGAGGGAGGCGACAGTGGAAAAAAGAAAAGAAGGGTGATGGTGATAAGGAAATGGCGTCAGGCTGGTTCTAAAAACGGAAAGGGCGGAGATGGAGGCGGTGGCAGCAAGGAAGAGGGTGGTGGTGATAAGGGCGAAGGGTGGCGGCCGTGAAGAAAAGAAAGAGAAGGGAAGAAAAAATAGAATTGAATATTGAGTTAATTATTTTTAGTTCAAAAATTAAGGGAAGAAATGAATATGGACAGCGAAAAAGGAACTTCTTTCCTTTTCAAATTTGTATACATTTAAGTCATGAGAATAGATATGATTCCAGTAATTAGTAATTAGTATTTCTTTTTGAGTGAAGTATGTTTAATGCCTAAGTTGCCCCCCTTGAATCATATTATGCATAATTGGTTGGCTGTTGTTTGCGTATTTGTACGCGTTCTGCACAAATGTTTGCCCACAAACGTATGTGGTTTTTCATTAAAAATAAAATAAAATAAAATAATAAATAAATAAATAAAACCATAGTTAAATTGTAGAGTTTGTAGTCAAAATGTGCTAGTACAGTCCATATTGTCCATAATAATAATAATCATCATCATCATCATCTCTAATTATTGTATGTTGTGCAATTTATGTAATTAAATTGTAGGATTTAAATGTTGGGAAATTATTTAATTTGCCATGTGGGACTACATATGTAATTAATTGTGTATAAAGACTATTCTAAAGTTACACTCAAAATCAAAGTAATCAAATAAAAAATTAGAGGAAATTTCATAACCCCGAGTATTTAAGGATTACAATTCAAAAATAAAAAATGAAATTTCGTTATTCACAAATCATGTATCAAAACAAATACCCATTTACAATCTCTTCTACCCATTTTTCTTCTATTTCATTTTTTCTTTCATTGTTGTCCTTCTTTCACCAACAGGTGCCGGTGCGACAGCGAATCCAACGCCGTTGATCAGCCGCTGTGAGCAACAAAACCATCGCCTTAAGTGCTGCTGATGAACGGCACTTGAGTTCGTCGAGCACTGCGCTAAGCTGCAAGCTCAAAGTGTCGCGCACAACGGCGTATACTCTGGTCATCAATGCATACGCTCTGTGCGTGGCGACAAATGTGCAGCGAAGTTGAGGCGCGACAGTTCCTCTTGTGGATTTGAACTCTCCTTGAACATTGTGTATCTAGCAGCAATCTAAACTACACAGCATTGCTTGTGGAAGTTTTTGTGGTGATATCTACACATCACAATGCTCTTTGTGGAGATTCCTACGGCGTTGCAATCACCTGCTGAGGTTTTTGTGGTATTTTTCTATGTTTTGCTGTGGTTTATGTTGCATGATTTGTTATGGTTTTTGTTGTAGGCGGTGGTAGTGTGCTGTGGTGGTGCCTGTGGGTTTGTGGATTTTTTGGTGGGATGGTGGTCTAGTGTGGCATAGATGGAGATAAAGGTGGTGGTGTGTTGTGCGATGGTGGTGTGATGGTTTTGCGAATGTTGTGGTGGTAGTGGTAATTCTGGAAACGGTAATGCTCATGGTTGCCGGAGTTTGGTGTGTGGTTACTGTAATGGTGGTGGGTTTGCATTGATGTGGTGTATGGTGGCTGTTTTGCACGGTCGGGTGAGTCAGTGGTGGTCATGATGGTGGTGCTCGTGGGTAGATAGGATGAGACGAGAGGTTTTTGTGATCAATAAATAATGTGACCAAAAAAATGTAATTGTGACACACAATTAAGTTGTGGATGCGAAATTAATTGTAACTAATAAAAATTTTGATTTTGCGACCAATGAAATTAAACTGTGACCTAAAAATATAATAATATGTGATTGAAAAATAATTTGTGACCTATAATGTTTTTGATTTGTGACCTCTAATCTATCCTATAAGTATTCACTAGTGATCATGAATTGTATAATTGTGACCTTGATATAATTAATTAGTAAAATATTTTTAATTAATTAATAAATACCTAATTTTTGCATTTTTAAAATTAATGTTTGAAAATTGATTTGGTGCATACTTAATACCTTATTTATGCCTCTCTCTCTCTCTCTCTCCCCCCAAAAATTAAGTAATTGAGCTTTGGATATCTAAATAAAATGTGGATCGAATTATATGTGTAGATTAGATTCCATTATAATTGTATTTAGTGATAGACGAAATACATATGAAAACTATGTATAGGGTATAGTTCCCAATTCATATGCAATTTCTCATTCTTTACGTTGTCCCATTAACACACGAATACAAGAGAAAATATATTGAAGAGGAATGTCCAAAAAAATCCACAATCAAGAACATACAATTCACCATTAAATAATCAAGATAAAGGAATTCAAGACTCAAAAAATGTGGATCAAGAAGCAAAATCAATATCAAGAACTCAATAATCAAAATAGTTAATATTCAAGATTTAAGATCCAGTATCAAAGAAACATTCCCAATAAATTACAGTATGTTCCATAGTTATAATTCTCTTGGTGATTTGACATGAAAAATGTTGGCATAAAAGTAATTTGCTTTTCAAGTTTTTGAAATTTAGAGTTCCATAAAAACTTCTAACATTAAATTCATCTATTATCAGCTATTCAATATTTCAAGAATTAACTAGTGTTCTAAAGAGCATAAAGTATGGCGAAGCGAGGATGCCAAGTTTAGGCCTAAGTGAGGCCTAGGCGTAAAAAAGTATAAAAAAATGTTTTCTTATTTTAATATTATTTTAAAATTTTAAATCAACCTAAATTTTTTTTAATAATTAAGGAAAAAACGAAAAAGCGTGTTTAGAATCTACTAGGCGTCCAAAGATTAAAAAAAAAAAAAAAAAAAAAAAAAAAAAAAGGGATTTTAGGGCACAAAAAACAAAAAAAAAAAAAAAAAAAAAAAAAAAAAGGGATTTTAGGTGAGGCGTTTTGTGCATGGGCGCTGTTTTTTTAAAATACTGACTAATAGATTCTTTAAAAATTGAAAATTGGACAGATCCAATTGGTTCAATTCGAAAATTGATTTTGTTTCCAACCCTTTAACCTTTGACAATTTACATTCTTTCAAAGATTGATGGAGTGATGGTTTACAAAGCATCGATCGAAAAAAAAAAAAAAAAAAATCCAAGCACACACATTTTTCAAGATAATAATAAAAGAAATGGAAAATATAGGTCATGCTAACTCGAACCGATAGTAGTCACTAGGGTGGGCAAATTACCTACCTAATCAATCCAAACGCCAAATTGAACAGACACAAGTTAGCTTGGTGCGATGTTGGTTTGATTTTCAGGTTGACTTGTATCAACGCAAAGATCTTGATTTGAGGGGTCAAGTTTAAAAGAATTAAATTTCAATGAAAAATCTCCTTCATCCCAACAAATCGAATCGAGTTAATTTATTCGTCTTGTTGATTCTATTTTGGGTTAGAATTTCATCCAACTCGAACTGTCACTTCGATTTTGTGTTGGGTCCAAATGCCTTTATGCATATTTTGGAGGTAAGATACCCAGTACCCTTCAATTTGTACTTGTTTGAGTAGTCAATAAAAAGAGTTCAGGGTGTGTTTGATTACATTTATTTTCCATGGAAAATATCAGTTTTCCACCCAAATTTCTACTTGAAGCGTTTGATTGCTATTTTTTTCCATGGAAAACATTTTTCAACTTTTGAAAATATGCCTAATTTTCCTTGTTTTTAAGGAAAACATTTTTTTTGGGTAGAGGTGATTTTTATTTTCCACAAAAAATAAAAAATATTTTCTTTTCTAGGTGATATTTTCCATGTCAATCAAATCAGGTAAAGTGAAAGGCGTAATAATCCTGTTAGATTTTGATGGTGTTTCCACAAAATGTCAGAAAAATGGTTAGAATTCATTTCATGTAGATAAATAATTGAAAAATTAGGAACCGCTCACTATAATTTGCCCCAAAAAAAAAAAGATTAAACTTGAACAATACACGTGTAGAAGGAATATATTAACGTGTGCCAAAGAAATCT